TTTGTGGGACAGCGACAACGATGGAGCCGTGCCGTACGACGCGAGAAATTTGGTCTCCCGATCATGTCGGCCACTGTGTCGGCTCGGCACGGCTGACATATTCTACACTGCCGCTTTGCGCTCTGCGTTTGTTTTCGTACCAGTAACGCCTACATGTGTCAGCGCCAATGGGACGAACTGAAATGCCATCCCACACTCGCGGGTATACAGTGCCAATTTCGTTGGAGGAATGCCCTCCAAAGAAGTTTCGTCCCCATCGTACGTGTCGATGATATTTCCGGACAAGTATGGCATGCAATCTGTATTTCATGAAGATAGAAGATTCGAACAGTAAAAAAAGTGACAAATATAAATCTAAAGGAAACAACAATGAAACTCGGAATCACTGGAGAATCGACGTTTGAGTATGGAAGTTTATGTGGTGTGCTTTCTTTCTTGATCAGCCTCCTTTTGGATGTGGAAATGCTGACACCCCGAGTTCTGTAGACAACAAATTTTTTTCTCGGCTTTAGAGCCACCTATCGCGAAGTGGTTCAAACTGGAAGTACCGTCCACTGGTCCTTTCCTACCCGTAAAGTGTGCACCTCCCACGATGAGTGGTATTATCTGACAGCCTTTGACGGTCAAAGGCAGCTCCCATTTAGTTACGCCGCCCAAACTAAATTTCCACCTGGTTTCGCTATGCCAACTCTTTTTGTTATAAAAAGTGTTGTGCCAAGTGACGGTCATGTCAAAGTACCTGTGCGCCGAAAATCAGCACCTCGCACAACAGGTTATTACACAACAGCTGACCGCAAAAGCCCTTGGCGGCCAAACAGTGTGTTGGCCGACAACTTTGTTTTCTCGGCTTTGGAACCACCTTTCTTAAAGTTGTTTCAAATGTAAGTACAGTCCACTAGTACCTCCTACCTCTAAAGTATCTACCTCTCCTGACCAGTGGTATTCTCTTGACAGCCTTTTCATGGTCAAAACCGGTTCCCATTGAGTTACGCCGCCCAAACCAAATTTTCACCCGGTTTCCGTGAGCAACCTTTTTTTTTTTTTTGTATAATAAGTGCTGTGTCATGTTAGCGTCAAGTCCAAGCACCTGTGTGCCCAAATCTGCACTTTCCACAGCTCGCTATAACACAACATTTTGGGTCCAATATTGGATATCCTGTACAGCTTTATTTCTTTATTCGTTAGAAACATAACTTTCACACCTGCTGTCTTAAAGAGACTTGGCACTCTTCGTGCACGAACTTAGTGAACATCTCACTCGCCTCCAAATATCATCGTTCCAGCAGTCCTAGGTTTACAGCGACGAGCGAAATAAATTTCCCACTCAGAGCAATTATGGAGCCGGCCGTCTTGTTTTTCGGAAAAGTGCTCCAACTCCTTTTTCGGCTGCAACTAGAGAAATTGCCCCTAATAACGACTCAAACTCGGTATATAAGTGGAGAACAGCTAAATACCCTTCTGCCCCAGCACTCATGCAACGTCACCCTCAACTTATCGGCTCAAAAAGCAGAAGTTTCGTCCGTGCGCGCTTCCGCCGCCACAGCTCAGCATGCGAAAAGGCGCCGCAGGCTGCTGAACGCGCCTCGCAGTCGAACGCCAGCTCCTCCGCTAGCGGCGCTGCGCGCGTTTTTCAAAGCGCCCCCTATAGTTCCCGCACGAAGTGTATACAGATATTTACAACTTTTCGGGCGCACCCATCATGTCCATGCTTTTAGTGGTGTCCCGCTTGTACCGACGGTGATCTTGACCTGCGTGGGCGTCGTCCCCACAGGTTTTTACATCTGTCAGGAATCGCGCCTCAGCAGGCCGATCCGCTGGTGTCATTGCATCCTGCCCATCTCCCGCCTTCACTCCCGCACCTTCTTTCTTTCTTCCTTTCCACTTCGCGGTCGCTTCCCAAAATCCACATCATCACAATTACCCCCCACTCAAAACAACTGTTACGATTTCAAAACCTGTCACACAAAAACACATTATAATCTTAAAACAAAATCATACCAATTGTCCACATATTACCTTACTAATGAATGATCCAACGTTATCTGATAGATTGAATCCTGCTCTCTACGTGCCACAATTTCTTCCCCTATTTATAAACTAAGCTATTCTAATCCAACGTTTCAAATTAAATTCTTCCAGTTACAGTAGAACCACGATTACCCGGTTCATACATTCATGAGTGAGGGCAGGGGAAATGTCCCATTGAGTTGCACTGTATTTTTTCTGGTCCGTAGGTTCCAGGAAAGTATGCTCAACATTCTACCAAATATTGATCGGATTGTACGTCTCTTGGCAATCAACATTGCACTCGCATATTTCGAGCTCCAAACATCCGGTCTCGACGAATGAACACTGAGCAGCCGTCCTCGGGGGCATACGACATGGCACGTGCGTGCGGAGCAGTCTGCTTGTTGATAACACCGCTGGTGCGTCTATTGTTTTCCACAACTTCCGAGCTATCCAGGTGCACAAGAGCGTTTTGGTTGGAACTACAGAACACACAGCGTGGTTTTACTGTTTTGACTCATTATTCAATTAGTCAAATAATCTCTCCCAAATAATAACAAAGGATTCCAATTACATAGCTTTCGCATCTTGAGTGCAGCTCCGGCGGCTTGGGCCAGAACCTCGGTACTTTTCACCGGCGTTCTCGGCTGTTGGCAGTTAGCGTCTGCACCGCTTCGTTGTCGTACTGACCGCTCGTAACAACAGCGCGTCCACCTGATGCTCTCATTCATTTTCCTCTTCAAGTGCTACTGCCGGCAAAAGTGGCTCGAATGCTGTCGTAACGATCAACAAAACCTGCAGCGTAAAAATCTAAACCCAAAAACGGCTGTATACCAATCGAGCTTCGCCCGTGCGAGCGCATGTTCACTTCAGTTGTCAACGCCAGAGCAGAACGCTCGCTTATGGCTTTTCAAGCGTTTGCAAAGTAAACACATGATTATAGGTCCTTCTTGGGTAACTCCAGCAAGAACTTTAAGGCATTGTTCGGAGGCTTGAGAGCACCGATTGCAAGAGTGTGCAAGAGTACCTCTAGACTAGGGCATACAATAGAGTAGCAGCAGTAGTAGTAAATGAATGAATGTGGCATTTCTTTGTTTCTTTCTTGGCATTGGTTCAGCTCCGGTTGCTTCATCAAGTTTCGCCAACGCTTTGGCAGCTTTGGATTCGCGTTCCGCCCCAAGCCCGCGTCATCCCATTTCGCCATCGTTCCTGTGCCGTGTAGGCTCATTTCAACCTTAATGGCGTCACGAAAGCGAAAGCCGTTATCCCTCCAGGAAAAGTTTAACATTCTTGCTGCCGTCGACTGGGACCCGAAACAAAAACGGATCGACATCGCCAAAGAGCTCAGACTGCCTGCCTCGGCGGTGAACACGTGGATCAACACTAGGTTTTTTCCCTCCATGTTGTTTCACACCTCCTCCGCTTTGGTAATGGCATCTACCCTGTACTTTCCTGGCTGGGCCTCTCCTCGTACCCTTTGGTCCTCTTTCACATTGCCTGGCACTCCCACGTTATTTTCCCGTTGCATTTTACTTGTGCATTAACCAGCACTAGCTCAAGGGCATCACAGAAACCTTCTAACAACTTTCCGGTTGTATCTGTGAATCCGTCAAACTCTTCTAAGCGGGCATTCATTTCTCTTATGATAATTATTTCCCGATTAAAGGGCCACTAATAAGAAAAAAAGAAATACTTTTTTTTAAACAGTCTGGTTGGGACACGCGTGTCAAAAAATAAAGTTTACGTGAAAGAAAAATTTGTTTAGAGCAATTATGGCACGAGATATATCTTAAAATTCAGCGCACAAAGTTCATGACGTCACGGAATGGTCGTACACTCTTTCCACTTCAACAAGATGGTCATAGACTCTCTCCACCTCAACGTGATGGCCAAGCCGATCCACCTCTCCTCCATGCATCCAAAATATTGAGAGAAAACAAGTGGAAAGGTGACTACAGACTAAATCGCGTCGTCAATATTGCTGTAAAAAATTTTTTTTCTTTTCGCGTAGAATTCATTTTTTGACACGCGTGTCCCAACCAGACTGTTAAAAAAAAAACATTTTTTTTCTTTTCAGTGGTTCTTCAAGGCCAATTTCTCTGATGTCCCTCGATTTACATGTAACCTGTTCTGTATTTCCCACCCCTTTTAAGTCATTTCCTGTTTTCAGGTAAGCAAACCCCAGAAGAGTGTTCAGACTTCTACCCTACCTTTCAGCCATAAAAGTTCTCAGCAGCTTTCCTTCCCTCTTTCCCAGTCTTGTCCATTAACTAACATGCCTTTGTGTTCACCTCCCATCCAGGAGTAGCCTGGTACGTTGCCAACACCGAATTGTAAACTGGCGAGATGCCAGCTTGAGCAAAAACAATTTACTAAATATTATTTATTTTTATTTCTATACGAGATTATGAAAATTATTCAATTATTGTTATCAATACAATAACCATAAGAAAGCACTGGAAACCGGCCACTCTACGATAAAATCGTAAAACTTGGCAGGTCTGTTGGCCAAAAAAGTCAGTAATGGTCTTCCGAGTCTTCTTTTTTCCGATGTCACCCAGAAGACACTTTCGGAACGCATAAAAACATGCGAATGTGTCGTCGCTGACGTTGATAGAGCTCACTATGCTGCTGCAGCGCGTCGAGGGCATGCAGTGTTTCAGCTGTCGGCAACGGCTGCTCGTCGTTAGTTACTTCACCGTCATCATCTCCGCTATCTGACTCTCCTTGCAGTGCACAGAGTTCAACAGACGTGCGTGTGCAAACAAAGACAGTTCTGCGGATGCTTCCTCGTTGATGACCACATGATCAACACTGATTCCGAATGTCATTTCTTATGTTCACTCGTGTGGTTGAGAGTTACTAAACCCCGATTATCGCATGACAACAAAAAAAAAAAGCAGCAACCCAGGAGTTGGTAAATGCGAGTTACTCCAACAAGTCAATATCAAATCACATGACAACACAGAGACTGCAGCAACACTGGACGTGGGTATGTTTTCAAAATTTTAATGCAGCCACGGCTATCGTGATTGCTTGGCCCGTATGTAGAAAGAATGGCGAAAAAAAATGATACAAAAACTCCTGCTACGGTTGGAGCCGAGTGATGCTGCCCTAAACAATGCATAAACATTGTGGATCATCATTCGTATGACCCACTGCGGCTCTGGAAAGCATTCAGACTTTCCAAAATGTAACACAATAAACTTAAAAGGCCCCTGAAAAGAAAAAAATAGGTCTGATTGGGAAGTGCATGCCAAAAAATTAATTTTACGCGAAAGAAAAATAACATTATTTTTGCAATATTGACGGCGCATTATTTATTTTAAATTCTGCGTGCAAAGTCCACGACGTCACAATATGGTCTTACACTCTTTCCACCTCAAGGAGATGGTCATACACTCTCTCCACTTCAATGTGATGGCTAAGCCAATCCACTTCTTTGTCACGTGCCTGAAATTTTGAGAGAGAAAACAAGTGGAAAGGAGGTGACTATCAACTATATCCCGTCTCGCGCCGTCAATATTGCTCTAAAAATTTTTTTTTTCGTGCAGTTCATTTTTTTTTATTTTCAGGGTCTCTTGGGGTAATTTACCCAGGGAATTCAAAAAATTTGTATCATCCCAGAATTTGGATAAACCACAATTACTGCACTATTTATGAATAAGGCCTTTGCATCTACTTTCCCACAGAACACATATACAGCCAATCATTGTGTTGCGCATAAATAACAGCGAATAACCAGATTGAGAACACAATTCTCCATATCAAAGTTCTCAGCAATCTTCACAAATGGTATCTTCGCACAAAGACATTAACTCTGTCCTGTGAAGAGCTGGAATCATGCTGTTGATCGCAGTGATTGGCAATCTGCTTGCTCCGCGAAAAAGCAAACTTTCGGGTTTTCTTCACAAATAATGTGGCTGTTACTCGAGCAAATATGGCATATCATAGAGATTCTACTACCGTAAAATACCGGGCAAGCGCCCACTCAAAATTTTGAGATAATCATGAAAAAATGGGGGATGGGTGCTTGTCCGGTCATCAATTCTGCATGTCAATGTACTGTGCATATTTTCTCAGATTTTACAAATTTGGGAATGGGCGCTTAATGTGGTATGGGTGGATACACGGTATTCTACGGTATAGGTTGTGTTATGTCAAAAATGGCTAATTAATGCAGATTATTCAGCAAACCTTTTAAATATTATTTATGTGCACAAACCACCCAATGCGAAAATTGTAGAATGTTTTGAGAAAAACACCACTGTGTCATTTCTATCAAGATAGCCTCCATGTGTCTAATTTTTTTTAAACGTTTGAAGAATGTGCACGAGATTTAACAAATATTCCATGTGACTGAACATTGCGGTTCGCTAGAGGGTGGTCATGTGGTATTTGTTTTTTAAATCTCACTCGATTTCTTTAGAGATAAAAAAATTAGAAACACAAAGGCTACATTGATGTCAACAACACAATGGTTTATTTCTCGACAAGCTCTGGAACTTTTGTACTGGAGGTTCGGTGCACAAATGAGTACCGTATTTACTCAAGTAATAGCCGTACCAAATATGAAGAAAACCTGAGGGTTGGATTTCTCGAGGAGCACGCAGATTACCAATCACTGCGATCGACAGCATGATTCCAGCTGTTTACGGGAGAAAGATAACGTCTTCATGCGAAGATACCATCTGTGAAGATTGCATTTATATGGAGAATTGTGTTCTCTATCCGGTTACTCGCTATGTCATTTTTGCGTAACGCAATGATTGGCTGTATATGTGTTCTGTGGGAAAGGAGATGCAAGGACCTTGTTCATAAATAGTATGGCTATTACTCTAGTAAATACGGGATCTAAAAAAATAACTAAATAACCTGCGCTAACAAGCAAGTTTGGCACATTGCAAAATTCATCTCAACTTGCTCAATAAGACTGCTGTAAACAATATTGTGTTGGATCGACATGCGCAGCAAGCACCACCTTTTTTAAGTCTTGTTACAAATTAGCTGAAACATCTCATATTAAATAACAAATATACTGCTTGTATTCCACACCAGTTAATTCTAGCTGAACATAGCTACATTCTAAATGCCACATCTATAGCAAGTAAAACGCTTTTAAGAAACCGGCTTACAGTCATCTCTGAGCCTTCTTTTACACTGCGTGCATAGGATGTTCAGCACTTATGGCGTTGAAGAGGTCGTTCACAAGGACAGCGAAGCGTTTCGTTCCAGCACAGTCCTCGAGGCCAGGATGTTTGAGACGGGAGTGCATGCTCAGGCCTGGAGCAGTGGTCTGACTGAAGGGTTGAGCACAAAATAAGAATGAGATTAAACTTCAATGAATCTTGTACATGACTGTTTGCTTAATACTACATGAACTTTTTTTTTTCTTGAGTGAGTGAGTGCAGGTTTAATTTTTATGGCTAATACCCCTGTCCGAGGGGCACATCAAAGGAATTCAGAATATACTCATTTAAAGAGAATCGACAAATCAGCTTGCGATCTCGAGCCTATCGACATGCGCTGATTTGCCGACCCTTTCAGGAGTTTGTTCTGAAGGCCTTGTGCCCGTTTGACACGGGTATGACTCCTGCCCTGGAACAACCAACTGAAGGTGTGACAGAATTAGAGCTAACTGCATGTTCTGCTCAAGCATAACTTTCAGACATACTTAAGGTACACAAACATTCTAGGAGAGTAAGAGCCTTCAAATCACAGCTACAGATACAACCGGATGGAAGCTTTCCCTCAACGTTTTGTGCCTGCCCCCCTACTTTCCACTGCAGTGCCAAAAATGCACACCCAAAAGGCTGTATTGCGCCGCAAGTTTATTTTGCTTCCTCAACACTGAAACTAATACCTCAGGCTCCACCGCACTGCCAGATCCTTACAGTTGGCTCGGGAGGATTTTCAACGTTTAGGTTGTCGTTTAGGATACTGCAGTGTTATTTGATTTTTGTATAAAGTACTAACAATAATACTAACAATAATCGCTGGTTGTGGTATATTTGGGCAGGTTATATGGCTTCTTTAAGTGAGCTTCTCATCGCGCACTGTAAAGAAGCGACACCCACGATGTAAAAATTGTGATTTTGCGTCTCTTGCTTTGCCATAGTGTAGCTGTGTGCTAAGGGGAAGCGCACCTCTCCAGAGGGACATGGTGCGCAAGCACGTATCAAGTAATTAAAATGAAAAGAGTCTGAGCAATACTCATTGGAAAACTTGCGTTCCACTTAAATTTTCAAAATGAAAACGCTGCAAGCTTATATGATTTGAACAAATATCTGCTGTGCTGTTAGGCATTATGCAAGGGGTTAGGTACATGGATTGTGTACGCATAATGAACATATTCAAAATTCATGCACACACATAAAAATAAAAACAATGCAGAATACATTTCTATACTTCAATCCAACCCTTATCTCATATAAAAAAACATAATCAGAAACCGAGATTAGCTGTTCTGAAAGTGAATGCCACACCCTAAAAATTTTAACTGACTGCAGTATGCAGACAAGTTGAGAGTATCACTGGTCGTGACCGTCTTTCAAACTGAAGATTCAGGAAATTGGTATCACAACAGGATTATTAAATAATGTTGATGAGGTGTACCTGGGTGGCACCATAGCTCTGTCGCTTTTCGCTTTTCCATAGCTCCATCGCTTTTCCTAAACGTTTAGCTGGTATTCAAGTAAGCTTTCATTTTGTTTTGTCAAATCCCACGTTTAGTTCCCACCTTTATGTAAGCTATGAACTGTTTGAAGGTGTAGTCAATAAAGCATAAATAGAAACTAAACTAGCTTTAACAGTGGACGAACAAAGGTATTTCGAATAACCTCTACGGGTTCGGCCAGACTTAAAAATAATTCATTTTTACATTATTCAAGCATCACAGCTTGGTTTGCCTTTGATTCCACATCTAAACAAACCAATCACAGATGTTCATGCCCCGTACTTCAGCAATTAGCACACATTTTAAAAGCAACTGCTGCGACGGAGCTTGTTCAACCAAAAGGGTAACTCTTGTCATAATATTCCGGTTGGCATGTCGGGCGTCTTTAAGCCCATTAAACAGCGATGGTTGCAGACCGAGTGAGAAAGCCAGGGAGGAGCATCAGTTGCCCAGCCTCCGGTTCAAGCTTTCTACATTCGGTGTCTTGTATGACTGGAGCATGCACGTGCGGCCAAAACACGCCAGAAAGCGGTGCGTGCGTGTAGGAGGCCGGGTGTTTGAAAAAGACGTCCTGCCGTTCTCTCCCTCTCAGTGACTGTAGCAGTGAAGTGCTTGAATGCTAAGCAAAGACACTGTCCTTCAGCTACACAAGCTGCCAATAAATCTTAACATGTTATTCACATAACAAAAATGAATGAAAATTAAATACATATTTGTGCTCCGAAAGTTACTTTTACTAACCCAAAATGAAGTTTCAGCTGCTCCACGGAGTGCCCTAAAATGGCTCCGACCAATCGCGCCACCATACCTTGCATTAGAGCTGCTATCCAACACAATTACCTGAACTGCCAGCCCGATGTTCATTTTCCTCGAGTTGTTGGGGTCCATGTGCTCCTTGGAAAGCTTGGGCACGGCTTGTACTCGGTGCCTGCCGTCGGCCTCGTAATGGAGCTTGTAGTGCTTGAAGTCCATTTCGTACCTGCACATTCTAAAATATGGCAAATCATCTTTCAGTAATGCAGCTGTATAAAGCGAGGAGGTTATAAAACCTTGCTTACCATGCTGCACTCGTGACGGTGAAGATGATTTCGAATGTACTATATATAGTGGGGAATGTCACACAAAAGGTACAAGGCGGGACAACGGTCACATGTATGAGGGACTTTGCGAAATGGGCCGTCGTTTTTTTTATATCCCACACTTCGATCACATTGCTTTGTTCATTGTGGCACCGCCACTGATAATGGTAACGACTGCAGCATTCTAATTTTCAAGTTTCAGCATGGCCGGCAAAACAACAAGTTGCACAAGAACAGCTCCAGGTGTAGCATTCCGCGTTGCAAAGCACGCTGTGGGCTGAACCCTGTCGTGAAACAAACACGGCTACTGGTGCACTGTCTGTAGCACTAGCCTGTTTGCTTGATCCGTCCCCGCCTGCAGCACTGCCTCGTCCGCTCAATCTGTCTGCGTAGTCCACGAAACTGTCCAGTTTGTAAGTGCAACAGTTTAAGGAAACTGCCTTTTAAACCTTTACTTCGTCCAGGATTAAGGTTCTATAATGCAAAATTCCTTTCTCATCAGCAAGTTAAGCCCCTATGCTTGTAAGGGCTACTCGGTTGAACCCAAATTCACGTGGAGCTCTCTTGATGAATGACTAGAGTCGTTCGGCAGATGGAAGCAGGAGGAGGTTCATCTGTGTTATCTGCTTATGCATGTCGACTCGTGATCTCCAGGGGCAGGCATGTCACGATCCACTATGTGTCGCATCACATTCATCTTGCAGATTTCTTGATTGTGTCCAGCGCAGTTCGGAAAGCCAGCTGCTGAGTGCGGAAGCTGTTTCATGGCATCATAAATTTTTTTCTTGAGGCATTGACAATAGCTGACACTTGAGGTTTTGAACCTCCTCTTTCAGTCTCTCACAAACTTCGGTTACCCTAAGCACTTTTCTTCTCAGAGATCGGACATCTGAGCGAGACTGAATCTCTGCTTGTGTGTTTGGCTGGGCAGACTTTCTTTTTTCTCGTTGGCGAAGCAGCTTTTGGAGCTTGGTGCATTCTTCACACTGCTGACTTTCCGAGAGAACCATGCAGTTCTTTCGATACCAGACATCGCCTTGTCTCACTGCTGTCACTGAGGTTTCGATGCTTGGGCATTGTGAAGCGTGACAACCTTTGCAAACCTCGAGGCTGTTCACATACCTCAGGAATGACCTGACTTCGTTCATATTCCTCAATGTTAGTGCAGTCTGTTCACTTCTGGTTTCAAAACTACTGTAGGTAGCTTCAGGAACAAGTCTTCCCTTTGAACTCACAGTTACTGTTAAGTCCTCTCTGAGCACCACGGCCCTTTCAACACTGACAGATTCGTCACTGTCCCTTGCTAACTTGGCAAAAATGATGCGTTCCTCCACAGATGTGTCAACCAACCAGTTGTCAAGCCATTTGCTTGCTTCAATTTGGCTCAGCAACAAGTGAAAGGTAGCAGAGTTGTCACCCCCACCTTCTTCGGCCTCTGATTTTTGATATTCGCTTGCTTCCATTTCACTCGGCAGCAAGTGAAAGGTAGCAGAGTTGTCACACTCCCCTTCTTCAGTCTTTATTGTTATTGTTTGGAATCCTGGTGCCTGTAGAGAGGGAGGCTCTGCTTGGGAACAGGAAGATGTCTCAGAAGTCTCATCGTCCCTTTCTGCAAATGCTGTTCCTCCCTTTGCAGCACTTTGCTCCGTCCGTATGGAAAAAGGCCCGCCGAAACCCGGGCAGGGTGTTGCATTCTTCTTCAGGAGCCACTTGCCACCACTATCTTCCTTGGTCTCCGATGTTTGGAATTCTGATGCCTGCAGAGAGGAAGGCTCCACTTGGGAACAGGAAGATGTCCCTGAGGTCTCATCTGCCCTTTTTGCGAATGCTTTTCCTCCCTTTGCAGCACTCTGCGCTGCCCGCTTCGAAAAAGGACCGCTGACAGCAAGGCAGGGTATTGCATTCTTTTTTAAAAGCCACTTGCCTCTTGGTATGAGCACTGTCTGACCTCCAATCTGATGCTCATAGTGTGTGCTAATCTGACTGCTATCAAAGTGCAAATCGCATACCGTGCTTTTCTCCGTCAGGCGGAAATCAGCTCGGCGTAGTGCATTTTCCCAGGCTTGGAGATCTTCTCGTGGTGGCTTGAAGAAATGCCGGCCCCCCTTTGGCTGTGAGGCGTACCCGCTGCTGCATCCGGGCGCGCAACAAACCGGCATACTGATCTTCAAACTTCCACAAGAGTAGGCAAGCGCAAAACTTAAATTTGAAAAACCAGCGAGCGAAAGACCGTGGTGGTATCGCGTTTGGCCGGCGACGCGGTGCTGAGGTGCAGTTTTCCAAAGTCACCTATGCGGCGGGCTTCCACACCCTTAGCAAGATGCACTTCAAGAGGCTCGGCGGCCAACTTAACGAGGCAAAGAAGACGATTCTGGGACTGCCCAGGCACATGAAACTGGAGGGGCTATGTGAGAGCGTCTTTTTACCAGAGTTCGAGGAGGTCCTGCGTCCCTAGAGAGGGGCCCACCACGCCACGCTACAGCACACGGCGGAGGGAAGGGCGACCGCAAAATCTTCGTGCGTCTCGGTCCTGGAATGGAACACCGTCCCGAAAGAACGACCCCCGTGGGAAACGATCAACCTGACCCCGAACGGGAAACCCCTACAGCGGGATATGAACACCTGCAGAAACAAGACGCGCGAACACCAGGGTAGGGCTTTACAGCGAGGAAGTGGAGGGGCTGCTGAGAGACGAACGGAACGTGGCGGCGTACACTGGAGCAGCGGCGGACTCGTACGCCGGCACCTGGGACCTGGGTCTGCGCGACCGTGGTCTACGGAAGTCCGCGATGATCCCCGACGACGAAACTGAACGTGCACTGCCCAAGCGGCCCAAGTAGGGAGGCTCAAGTGAGGGTGGGTGCAACTGCTAGATCGGCGATCACGGGACATGGACGCCATTTAATTGCTAAATTTTGCTGGGAGTCTATGGGGCAAAGGGTCGTTTTCTTTCCTAACTCGGTTCATAAAAGCCCATTAAGGTGCTTGAATAATTTACGCAAGGTATAAATGATTACTTTTCCATAGCCACCAGTTTTGTTGCGATAGGTTAAGTATTTTTTTAACGCGAAAAATGGTAAATTTCGCCATCTTGGACGTTGCTGCTTGTCTGGCAACTTTGCTTTCTCCGCTCGACGTTTGCAATTCTCGGAGCGAGAAGGAAGCGAGAGAGGCTGCGCCAAGGCGCTCGTTGCTTGCAATGGGAGGCGAGAGGAGGAAAGGCGCATGGAGCAACAGAGTTGCAACAGAGCGGGCGCCTGCTCTCGTGCAGGCATGGAGAATAGAAGGGTAGGAGAGGGCATGACGTCGGCCGCGTAGCCTCCACAAGCCATGCTCCCTTGATGCCTCGCCTCTTTCTCATTTTCCTCCTTACTCTCCTCACGTACCATGCCAACGTGACCACATCACGTGACCGTAGCTAGCCTTCGTCTTGCTATGGGGTACTAGAATACACCACGGTCTAGCCTTCGATATGATAAAACCTACCGGACGGAGCGCGCGCAAGCCTGCAAGGAGTCCTTCTACAATCAACCATCCATCTCACACGTGACATGTCACGCGCACCAATCGCCAGAGAGATCTTCGGTCACGCTGGGCACAAAATCGTTTAAACTTTTTATGACTAGGCTTCACCAATATTGCAGCGTGCCCCCTCCTAGTACTTCTAACCTCCTTGCGTGCAGGCAACATTGGGGCATATCCTTTCTCGAATCCTCTCCCTCAGGCGCCGCCATTAAGAGGGCGCGGTACCTCTATTTATTCGTCCGTTTCAGCCACCAGATGGCGCGCGGCTCGAAACGTGGTTGGATATCAAGGGTGCTGGATATCAAGGGTGCCTATGACAATGTGAACCAAAGAAACCTGTGGGACATAATGGAGAGCTTAAACCTAGATGAAGGACTAACAGCACTATTAAGGAACATTTACAAAGATAACAAGGTGATTATAACATGGGAAGGAATGGCGACAGGGAAAATAGAGATAAGACGAGGCCTTAGGCAGGGGTGCCCGTTATCGCCTTTGCTGTTTATGTTGTATCTGAGAGGATTGGAGGATAGACTAGAGAAGAGTGGGCTTGGGTTCAACCTTTCTTACAGTAAGCTAGGCCAAAAAATTCAGCAATCCTTACCGGGATTGATGTATGCGGATGATATTGTACTAATGGCTAACAACAGGACAGAGTTGCAGGAATTAATGAGCATCTGTGGTAGGGAAGGAGAGGAATTAGGTTTAGAATTCAGTAGCGAAAAATCGGCAGTCATGATTTTTAACGAGGATGAAGTTGAGAGGCTGAAGATACAGAATTTTACAGTTGAGAGAGCTAGTAAATACAAGTATCTAGGAGTATGGATATGTGATGGTGCAGAATATCTCAGAGACCATGAAAAGTATATAATAGGTAAGGGCAACAGAAATGCAGCTGTAATGAAAAATAGAGCACTTTGGAATTACAACAGGTATGAGGTGGTGAGAGAGATTTGGAAAGGGGTCATGGTGCCTGGCTTGACTTTTGGAAACGCAGTGCTATGCATGAAATCCGAAGTGCATGCGAAACTAGAAATAAAACAGCGCGGAGTAGGTAGACTGGCTTTGGGGGCGCATTGCAAAACGCCAAACCAGGGAGTACAAGGAGACATGGGATGGGCATCATTTGAGAGCAGGGAAGCGGTGAGCAAGGTAGAATTTGAGGATAGGTTGAGGCTAATGGATGGGGAGCAATGGGCACGAAAGGTTTTCAGCTATTTATACATGAGGAGTGTAGACACAAAGTGGAGACAGCGCACTAGGAAATTAAGAGGAAGGTTTTTGGGCTATAGCGAAGATACGGAAGAGCAAGTCTCAGTTAAGAAGAAAGTTAAGGCCACAGAAAGAGATCGGTGGCTAGAGGGAATGCAGACAAAGACTGCTCTGGAAAGCTATAGATTAAACAAAAGAGTTATTGCCAAAGAAAGCATTTATGACAATTCTAGGGGAAGCTCATTGCTGTTTGAGGCAAGAACGGGTGTTCTGCGAACCAGAACATACAGAGTGAAGTACCAGGAAATTGATACAGTGTGCACTGCTTGTGGAGAGGAGGACGAGACGGCTGAGCACTTGATACTCTACTGTAAAGGGCTTCACCCTATGCCTACCGAAGACAACATAGATTTAATAAAGTCATTGGGTTTTAGAGACAGCGAAGGGAGAGTGGATTTCAAGACTGTAGAGATTACCAAGCAAAGATTAAGTGAATGGTGGCAGAAATCGAGAGAAAACTAGGTATTTTCTTAATCACTGATGGCAAGGGGGTTTCATAGCCTCACTTTCTTTGCACTGCGGAGTGAATATAGATTTCACATTTAAATATTCTAAGCTTAAATGGTAACACAAAATGGCTAGGTGGCGTAAGCTACCGCCCGATCCAAAGGGCTCAGCCGTATTCATCCATCCATCCATCCATCCGGTTGAACGCGCAACTTCTAGATGGCGCCAGTATCGAGGTGTGAAAAGGCCCGCGTTATCCGCTGCGTGAAATAGATCCCGAAATGTGCCGTGTTCTCCCGGCGGAGGAAGTTTCTCCCTCCCTCGCGCGCGCTTGGTATGTACGCGCGGTGGCCGAGTCCGGCCTCTGCGCTGTGTGATGCAGTGGGTGGCGCTCGTTTCTGTTCGGAGGTAGGAATAAAAATGCCGGTCCTCTTTTTTACGACACTCGTTTCTATAGCTTGTATTTTTTTTTTTCTTTTTTTCTATCTCAAGTGATCTACAGTACCGCCTGTTCGAAATCGTCCTTTGCTGTGAGCGATTGAGAGTCAGGTTAGCATTTTATTTGGGTCAGCACTACACGTTCAATGGAGACCTCGGGCGGCGATGTAAATATGCATTGCTCCCCAAAGTGTGTCCAAGGTGCGCAATGACAATTGGAAAGGGTATTGAAGGCGCGCGACCGTCGGTTGGTAAAATACGTGCGTTAGATTCACTTATTCAGTCTAATCATTTCTGCCAACGTCTTTTATCTGTTTCGACAAATGACATGGTCGAGTCTATTGATAACCTTAGCTAGATTGGACGTACGGAGTGTCCGGGCTTTAAATAAATTTGCTTCGTTTATGTGAATGAATAACTGTTTTCTCTTTTCCGTGCTCGGTGCTATGCAAAAATCGCTGAGACGTTATGGTAACTCAGTGTGGCGGCGTTTTGCACGCTGACTCGCTATTGCATTCGCTGTGCACAATATGTGTTCAGATGGAATGTGCCAAATCGTATTTCCGATCGATATGATAGATTTACTTTGCTACAGTGTTAATTATATTTTCCTGATTTAAACTGGTTCGTCCCTGATCTGAGCCTAAGTTCAAATTCGAAGGGCAGACAGACTTAGCGTCGTAACAGCCGTAATGCGCAGAAAGAAATTAGTACCATGAAAGAAAAACAAAAGGATACGAGGTGGCTCGGTGTTATAGAAGTAATGAGTGTGCAAAGGATGCCATCGTACGTGTTTTTTTTTTTTTTTTTTTTTTTTTAACTTTCCGCATTGCTGGGAAACGCTCAAGGTACCAGCAAAGACAGCGAGCTGGCGTGAAATTTCCATCGAGCGGAAAACGAGTGTCATTTTTATTTCATCATGCGCTTTCATTTTGATATGGCTCAATATGGGCGCGAAATAGTAACAGGTAAGGCAACAAAATTTAGATGTTAGGTCTGGAGCACCGCCATACGCGTCGAACTGTACGTGAGAGTTATCCATTTCAGCGAAACCTTGATTTCGCAAAACTATTGTGGCTCGAGTCCTGGCTTCCAGTACTTGGAAGCCACGAGCGAGAAATAAATGACAGTTGATTTTGAAGGACAATCGCGACGTGGAAACCCATAAAAGAGAGTCCCGATAAGACGAGAGCTTCCCCTTCTCTTCAAGTGCGTGGGTTACGCTCTCAATCCTGCACCTGTGGTAACACTGCAGGCTCCTAAAATCGCTTTGAAAACGTTCCTGATCGCAACAACATTTTTTTTTTTTTTTTTGTCGAGGCGCTATTTTTTTATTTTTTTTATTTTTGTCTACCTTGATACCCCATCAGCGCAAAAACTACCATAAACTAAAAAAAAAAAAAAAAAAATAGTGGGCATACAACGACAACGCACCCACTGGGACCCGAGTCAAGGCAAGAACAACTAACTACTAAAAGGGAAAAAAATCATGTTCGCATACACAGACAGAACGCCTCCATCGAAAGAAATGAATCATGCGCTTGTTCTGCCAGTCTCGTTGTGCGTCTGTCAAAAGCCACAAAGGAGGAAGATTATCAGCGCTTCACCACTCCCCCCCCCCCCCTCCCCCTCCCCCTAAAGAGAAGAAAAGAAAGCTTTCTTGGGCGCACGCGGTCGCCCAAGCGATGACCTTGGAAGGGTATGCGATTGTAGCACGTTTGTCCCCCGGTTGTGCCCCTGTCTCAAATGCCACGGTCCGTTTCTCCCAAGTGCCCGTCTTACCTTCCCGAGTATCAACTCCGCAGTGATTCTGAATCATTCCGATGCTTTCCAACGTTGCAAAACTGTTAGACGAATATTTGCACAGAAGTATACACTGTTCGCAGAACTATCTACGGCGCTAAAATTCAAAAGCGCCGTGTTGGATTCGGGAACTCGTGTAGGTTTAGCTCATTGTTGGAACATTCTTATTCGCTCGATGAACTCCACAAAACGTGTAAATATTATAATGAACTTTCCAGAAAACGATAGTTGTTGTCGGGGTTCCAGGCGACCGGACAGGTCGCAATTATTGACTGATTAAAAATTTTATTTCATAATCACAATCGTATCATCAAGGGCACCATTTCCTCATCACTTCTTCTACGAAAAGAGTTGCTGTATTCGTAGCACACACAGACGGAAACGATTGAGACTGTGCCCAAATAATATCTTCTTTTGGCAGGTACTGCGCAG